CCTACATGGAGTACCTTACATTTGTCTATGTTAAATTTCATCTGCCAGGTATCGGCCCAGTCACTAATTAAATCAAGATCCCGCTGTAGCTGCTGAGCCGTATCATATGCATCTCTAAACGGTTCCCAAATGTTGCACATTTTTTTTCTTATTTTACCACATTCTGAAGTTACTTGTCATAATCTACATTCAGTCGTGGCTATTCCATGTGTTGCCTGGCAGATAGAGTATCAGCATGCAACGCAAATAAGTTCTGCAATATATGTTCTGCAATATCTGCATTCTGTGTGCATTTTCAACTTGATTCTTGGCAAATAATGCCCTGTGTTGTCCCAAAATCAATATTCTACTTAAGGAGAGATTAAAAATGTATGTAGTATGCATTTTGTATGCATTATTCATCACCTAATTTAAAGTTTAAAAAGATGGGGTTCAAAATGATGCAGTAGCTTGTTGCAATACAGATGCAACCGACACAGAATTAGTCTTTTTCCTTATTTACTTAATTCCCAAAATAGCAAATAAAATTTAAGCCCATTGATTCCTTAATGGATATTCCAGTTTTTTATCCAGGAAAAGTGCTGGTTTTTCTTATGTTTGAATTCATCCATCCATCTTCTAACTGCTTATCTGGGTCATAGGAAAGACATAAATCAATCCTATTGCGGGCAACGTAAGGCACGGGGCTGGTCTGCACCCTGGATGGGATGCCAGTCCGCATAGGGCACGGGGCTGGTCTGCACCCTGGATGGGATGCCAGTCCGCATAGGGCACGGGGCTGGTCTGCACCCTGGATGGGATGCCAGTCCAAGCAGGGTGCACACACTGACCTACACAATCATACACTCTGGCTAATTAAAGACTCCAGTCTGATTAGCTGCGTATCTTTGGAATTCTGTGCGATTTAGAGAAAACATGAAATGAGGCCAGCTTGCCACCACTAATGTTGTAAGGCAGTGTTTCCCAATCCGGTCCTTGGGGGCCCACAGCCGGTCCAGGTTATTGCTCCCTCCGAGCTCCCTGCATGTTTCCGCTACCAGTCCATAGACATGCAGTTAGACCAGTGTTTCCCAATCCGGTCCTCAGAGACCCACAGACAGTTCACGTTTTTGCTCCCTCCCAGGTCTCGGAATGTGGACTGTCTGACTGGGAGCTCAGAGGAATCAAAAGCGTGGACCGGTTATGGTTCTACGAGGATCGGATTAGAAAACACTGTTGTAAGGAAATACATATAGTAGTTCTCTCGTGTTTTTGTTTTGCAATAGAAGGTAAAATAATTAATAGTCATGCAAAATTTGCATGCCCTTCTTCCTCTGGGGCATTGGTGAGTTCCACAGATTTCAGTTGTAACAGGTCACCCCAGAACACACAGCATGGAGGTGGCCCAGTCGTGAACCTATTTCACTTCTGCTTCTGCCTTATTTTCATATCCCTTTCATCATCAGCTCTTTTAAATAATACAACGTGCAGCAAGTTAATATTGCTTCCCTGGCTTTGAATGCTCAGCTGAAAGCAAGCTCGTCGCTCAGGAGACATTATATCCGCAATGGGCTGTCACTTCCCAGGTCGCCTAGGAACAATGTCCCCTGCAATTGCGCTCTGCCGGCCACTGGTGCACCCGCTCCGTCTCTATCCCAAAATCGCTCGCTCTTTGAAGCCGTCACTACTGTGCGTATTGTAATAATGGAGAAACAGGCCTATTTTTTTTCATCAAGGGGCAGAGTGACTTTGAGGAAAAGGAGTAATGAGGTACAAGACTTTTTACATTGACTTGATACTTTGTAGCTCGACTTGTTCATGTGCCTTATTATACTCAATACTATAAAGAAAATAGGTTGGCACCACTGCATCCCGAACTCTAGTTCTTTGGCGTCTATAATAAACTTGAAGGAATTTTGTATCAATATCATACCTCGTATGTAAAGACTGTTGTCACAGGCACACGACTGTAGCAAATGAATTGTGGATAAAAGTAATTGATTTGGATTTAAATATGGGGTGATGCGTTATTGCTGGAATAATCAAGGGTTCTCCAAGACAATGGGTTTTAGACTTACGATTGCATCATTCTTAAGGCTCCACCTCCAGTGAGAATCGACTGGCCTTAAAATCCGTGCTGTTTGTGAGTCGCCTGTAGATGACGGTTTATGATTAATGGTGACCTTGAACTGCAGCCCCTTGTTGGGTTTGCCATTAATGTGCACATTCAGCAGGGATTTACAGTCATTTACATCATCCTCAGTGACATTCTGGCTATCTTGGGGGGGGGAGGAGGGTTAAATAGAATTATAGGAACATCAAATGAAAAATGCACAATGGCATTTGAGCTCGTTGAAAGCGGCAGTGGACAAAAAGCAAAGCCGGGATACCTTCATGGCTTCCTAAACATCTGGATAATTAAATCCGGGATACCTTC